GATACTTTTGGTCACTGAGATTGTCAAATTTATAAGAGCCCCTTTTTTGTCCACGCAATCATCACTAAGTTTCATCTACTCTTGCATCAGCCAGAAAGATCATCCTTCAATGTAAATCTCTTCATGCTACTTCCTCCTTAAAATCCTGAAAGATTATTCGGTATCTCCTTTTCCCTCTCCATCCCTTTTCCAACATCTCTACCCTTATCCTCTGCCACCCTCTGCAACCAGCTTTCTAGAAATAAGTATAGAATTACTTTCACTTCCACTGAGCCGTGATCTCTTGCTCAAGACCTTTGTACAGCAGTTTCCTCTGCCTGAAAGACAAATCAATTACACCAGAACCCCTGGTGGATCGCAAGAAAGGAAATTTTTCTAAAGCTTCTTAAGTGATTCTAATGTAAAGTCAGAGTTGAAAAACACAGTACCTAAATATAAATATTTCTCTCTTATCCATATCCAGCGCTGCTAGAGAGGGTCCGGTTCCTGAGTAGGGACTTGAGAAAACGAAAGAGACAGACATAGAGATAGAAGGAAAAAGCTGGGGCCGGGTGGGACGGCTGCACTCTGATGGAGAGACAGTGACCCAGAGCCTATACAGCATGTTTAATTTATACAGTCTGATTAAAACAAGGGTGGATAAAAAACAAACAAACAAACAAGGATGGATTAACATGTATACAAAGGTTCTTATTTTGAAGACACTTGCTGCACCTCCTACAGCCCATTAGCTACTTAGGAAGGAATTAGGGAGGGCTGCAAGGTCAGGCTTAATTATGCTGGGAGACTCTGCCCTCCAGGCTGGGACTTGTCTGTGGCCCTGCCACAGGTCAGTCCAAGGCTTAATCCTATAGCTGCTCCCTACACCTAAAACCCTTTCTTTTAGAGATTAAAAATAATAAAAAAATTCAGGGAAGTTATCTGATTCATCCAAGGGCACACATGTCACAGACCTCTCTTTACTTTTTTTTTTTAACCTTTTTTTTTTGTTGTTGTTAATCCTCACCAGAGGATTTTTTTTTTCCCATTGAATTTTAGAGAGTGGAAGAGAGTGAGAGAGAGAGAAACACCGATGTAAGAGAGACACATAGATTGTTTGCCTCCTGCATCTGCCCCTACCAGGGCTGGGGATCAAACCTGCAACCCAGGTACATGCCTTTGACCAGAATAAAACCTGCAACCCTTCATTCAGCCTGTGGGCCAGAGCTCTAACCACTAACCTAAACCGTCCAGGGCCATTTACTTTTTTTAAAAAAATCAAAATTATTTCAAAATTTTACTTTGAATTTCACTCTGTAAGAGCTCTAGACACTTTTCAAATGTCATCTTAAATGGCCATAAAATAAAAACGCAATCCCTTTTTCTCAGTTCTCTGTTGATTCAGAATGATACTCCAGTCAGTTGTTTCAAGTTGTCATTCTCTTTTAAGATATCAATATGGGACTTTGAAATCTATCTATTTACTCAAAATTCTTCTGTGAAACCTACTTTGGGGAAGGCAGAACCCAGAAATACTTTAGTGAGAAAAAACAGTAATGTTCCTGAATATTCCTTATTTCAAATATGTTATTTGGGACAAAATAAACTTTTCTATGTAGCTTTTAAGATAAAGTTTTGTGAAAACATTCCAGAGAAAGCTTTGCAGCTCAATTTAACTAAAGTATGGGTTGATTTCTGGTCTTTTCCCTTAAAACTACAGACAGACTCCTAATTTGAGTTTCCCTTCATGCTCCTCATTAGGCCCCATAGCTCTCACAGTTTAGGTTCTCGATGCTTTAGCCACAGAGCTGCTAATTTCTTGTGTTGACATTTTATACAATGTACTGTATAAAATCCTACAGGATTATAGGATATGTAGATGGACTATTCATTGTAATCTCTAGGTAATAAGAACAACTTTCTGACTTCTTTAAGTACAACACAGCTAAAATACCAGCCGCCCAGCCAGAGTGGCTCAGTGGTTGAGCAATGACCTATAAACCAGGAGGTCATGGTTTGATTCCTGGTCAGGGCACATGCCTGGATTGTGAGCTCAATCCCCAGTGGGGGCTTGCAGGAGGCAGTCAATGAATGATTCTCTCTCATCATTAATGTTTCTATCTCTCTCCCTCTTCCCTCCTCTCTCCTCTCTGAAATCAATAAAAATATATTTTAAAAAACATACAATACAATACAATACAATACAATACAATACAATACAATACAATACCAGCCAATGGACCACATTAGTAACTGAGGAATACCAGGAGTGAGCTTCAAACCTGTTTTGACAATAAATTTACCACTTCGAAGAATTAATAAAAGCTCCTAGCCAGAACACTTTAATTAGATAAACTGCATCATATAAAGCTAAAGCAGAAAGTCAAGACATCAAAATATAAATGGCTTCATTAACTGGTTTCAACTCATGAAAACAGTATTTTTTTTCTTCTTTGGAATAAATCTTAAGAATATAAATCTAACCATACTTAGAAAACTGAAAACAAATGTTCAGGCTAAATATATGTAGCAATAGTCCATATGATAAATGTAATAAGATAGATATATAATAAATATAATAAAACATATTACTTTTATATATTTTGCTGCCCTCTACTGGGGAATCAAAGAATGGTTTCCAACTCCATCTCAAGCTTGGCCTTATGTGCTCAGATGGCCTAACATGTGTGCAGGCATGTTTGTGGTGTGTGTGTGTGTGTGAAGAGAGAGCAAGAGAGAATCTCTTCTTCTTCCTCTTATAAGGTTGCCAATCCTATCAGATTAGGACCCTACTCTTATGACCTCATAACCTTAATTACCTCCTAAAAGCCCTATCTGTAAATATGGTCACATGGAGGTTATGGATTCAACATTTGAATTTGGGAGCGGCACGATTCAGTCCATTGCATTTTCCTATACATTTCTACAGTGTTTTCTCCTTTCTTAGAATGAATGTACAGAAATCACCTGTTTCCTTACTTCTGACTCATCGATATATATAAAACCCTAATATGCAAATAGACCGAAAGGGGGAACAACCAAACAACTGGTTGCTAAGACATGCGCTGACCACCAGGGCACGTGAATGGAACATGTTAGGCGTCGGCAGCAGGTGGGATGGTGGAGATGAGCGGGGGCACCAGACCAAGGCGGGGCGCTGCTCGCTGTCATCGGGGTGAGCCTCTTGTGGTTACTGAAAATTCTTTGCTCCCACGGGTGCCATGGTCCCACTTGGTGCTCACACCTGCTGCAGGCGCCAGCCCCGCTCGCACCTGCTGCCAGTGCCAGAGCCACTGGTCGCACCTGCTGCCGGCCCCCATTGCTCAGCGCTGTCAGTGGGTGCCAGCAGGGCTGGTACGGTCAGCATGTGGGAGCTGCGGCAGCGGGAGCAGGGCTGCCAGCAGACAGGGAACCGGGGGCTTCAGCAGGAGGGGCTGGGCGGGGGTGCAGAGGATGGGCCGAGACCCGCCCCTGTGCCCACTGCAGCCTCGCGGCCCACAGTTCCTTTCAAGGTGCACAAATGTGTGCACTGGGCCCCTAGTTAGATATAAGTTCTCTCAAGCCAGACTCTGTACAATATTGCTATTGTATCCCTAACACAGTAACTGGCACCTAATGGCCCTGTGATCAATGCTGGTTGAATGAATTAAGAAATGGTAGCAACTACGTATTCTGCTCTTTACCAGGTTTTAGCATTAAATGCCATAATTAGCAAGAGTAGTAGGATGGTTAGACCTAGGCAGATACCTGGGGTTTTGTTGAAGATAGAACATCAAAACGAGCCTTATGTTAATTCAGCTACTAAATGTCATGGACTTCATTTTCCTCCAAGGTCCTCACTGAAGTGGTAGAATGACATGCCAGTAAAGCTAAACACCGACCAACAGCCATTTCTTGGCCTGGAAGCAAGTGATGCCCACTGAGGTAAGTAGCATACCAAATGAATGCCTAAGCTCTTATTTCAGATGATCCAGTTATTTAAGAATAGCATATATAACTTAATACAATTATATCCACTGAATAAATAACCATTGAATATGAATAATATACTTAACAATTAGTTTAAATTATGTATTAAAAAAAGACACTGCAATTCGTCAGATCCCTTGCCTCCAGAGACTTAAGAAACACTACAGACAGAAAAAGAGGATTTCCCTCTCTCCCTGAGCACAAAATCAGCCGAGTCTGCTCTGAATGGCCCAGAGGTCCTAGAGCAGTGGTTCTCAACCTTCCTAATGCCGCGACCCTTTAATACAGTTCCTCATGTTGTGGTTACCCCCAATTTCATTGTTACAAATTGAACATAATTAAAGCGTAGTGATTAATCACAAAAACAATATGCAATTATATATGTGTTTTCCGATGGTCTTAGGCGACCCCTGTGAAAGGGTCGTTCAACCCCCAAAGGGGTCGTGACCCACAGGTTGAGAACCGCTGTCCTAGAGGTATGAAAATCAGGCTGTTTATCACCAATGGAAGTTGAATTCAACTCTTGTTCCTACAAGCTTCTTCTACTGACTGGTCTCCTGAAACCCTGTGTTCATTTTTCTGGGATGTCCTTAGCAGATTCCAAAGGGTTTCATACTCAGAAAGGGTTAAGAGCTACTGCCCATAGGGCCAGAAGTTTTATCTTTGGGAGCCATACCTGCATCTGGCTGTCAATACCAGGGGGAGGAGGAGGAGAGTAGGGGTAAGTATTGGCTGGGGAGAGTTGAAGGAATTGAGCAAAAAAGGAAAAACTCATGGACACAGACAACAGTTTGGTGATTGCGGGGATCGGGGAAGGGATGGAGGAAGTAGGGGAGGACGTGGGAGGGGGGTAAATGTTGATGGACGGAGACTTGACTTGGAGTGGTGAACACACAATATAGTGTACAGATGGTGTGTTGCAGAATGGTATACCTGAAACCTGTATGACTTTGTTAACCAGTGCCACCCCAATAAATTCAATAAAAAGAAAATGAAAAGTAAATTGTAGTACAGTAAAAAAAAAAGACACTGCAATTAGGACTGTAAAAACTTTATTGTACTTTGAATAACAAGCATGCAACAAAACTTAAAGCATAATAAAGATAAAATATCTCAAATTATGTTCCTTACAAAAGCATTAAGTACAGTACCCAAAGACTACTCACAATATTTTAAAGTCTACTAAAAACATCAAGACATACTAGGAACTGTGGAGTTTCCTTTCAACCACAGCATTTATTCCCAATACCTTTGCTACAATGAACGTTAACATATATGAACGTACACATATAAGTGCAATGGAACATGAAGGCATACAACAAACATTCCAATTACCCAGCAAGTATGAAGAAGAAAGTTTTTTTACTATTTCTGAACTTCTGCACGCTTTGAATATATTGACCAGGTACAATGGCACTTACAAAAAAATACTTTAATGTTACATAACTTTCACCATTCCCTGTGTAATGTTACATAACTTTCACCATTCCCTGTGTACTTTCTCAGCGTAGTCATTAATCAAATTTGATAATTTGCAAGTGAAATAAGAAACACATTAATCTTATTCACATGTAATACTCAGGATGTTGAGCAACCAGCAGTCCATTGCCCCATCCAATCAGCACAGACACTGGAGTAAATGACCGGTATGGCAATAAGGTCGGTCCCAGCTGAATATCAGCCCTGATCTTATTTCCAATCACCAGAAACATGTTTGTTTTTTTCTAATGAAGAAGCATGCGTTATGAGATATGAAGCATGAAATTCACACAGACATGAAATGGAACTCAAATACTCTTCTGCATGGAGGCTGCGTGTGAAATATTTCACAGTGACTGACATGCACTGGCTAACAGGCAATGGTGGTTTTTATATTCAACTTCGATGAAAACAAATGGACTTACAAGAAACCCTTGAGATTTGGTTAATGCTACTAATCTAAAGGCTCCAAATTACTGAGGATCCTTTAAGATCAGTATATGTGACCTTTTATATATATTTCCTTAAGGAAAAAATAATAATAAAAACACCGAGGTACTTTAGTTTCTTTTCAAGGGATTACTGTTGTTATCTTCCTGAGATGCATAAGACCACAGAAGAAAAGCACCATGCCTCGGTCGCTGAATGAGGCATTAGACCTTAATAGTTTGGTCCTTTTCTAAATGGATCTCTTCCGACTATTACACTAAAACATAGTGATGGGTCGCAGATGCCAGGGGGACCTGGTTGCCCTTGGACGCCAGGTTTTCCATGATCTCCATCTTTGCCAGGGAGACCGGGGTCTCCTGGGGGACCTTCTTTGCTTATTCCAGGAGGGCCCTCTGGACCTAAGATGGGACATTAGCAGCATATGAACAGAGGATTTTGATTTTTCAAGGTGATATAGCTCATCTTGTACAATATTTAAACTGAAAAAATTTCCTTGAAAATTGTACATATTTGCACTAATGTGAAACGAGGAGGTATAACTTTGTTAATTCTACATACCTCCCACTTTAAAAAGGACCATACAAAAGTAATCAGTAATTTTTGTAAAACTAAGCCAAGCTATATTAATTAATATAACAATCATGCTACTAATGAAGACACTGCACTAACATCTAATATTTCAATTTGTGGGCTGTCCAAACTTACTAAATTATTTGATCCACCCAAAGCCTTAGGAGGTAATAACATCATCTAAAACAATAATAATACACATTTATTGAAAACATAACTATGATTGTCACGTTCTGTTCTGCAAGCACTATATGCATTAACTCATTTAATCTTCCAATAATGTCATGATGCAGATGACATGTCACCACCATTTCACAAATGAGGAAACTGAGGCATGGCAATATTAAATAACACAGAGAGTGACTTAAGAGTTTTGGTTTCAAATTATTTGACATAGATTTGTGAAGATTTTCTTAAAGCAAAGTATGCAGCAACACTTATGAACATATACCAGTTCTTACCTGGTGGACCAGGAGGCCCTTGGTCTCCAGGGTACCCAAACCCTTGGTTCCCCTTTGCCCCATTTCTTCCTGGGAGGCCTGCAGTGTCAAAGATTGGAATAAGCTAATTTTTCCTATAAAATCACTGCCTCCTAGATTGTTTCTTTCCAAGCTTTTGATGCACAAATGGAAAGAAAAAATGCATATTTTAAAAATAGCTTGCTACCTGTTTATTATTACTAACCAGAAACAGAATTTTTGAAGCAAAAATTCCTGAAACTATCAGTGGTCCAGCAATATTTAATAAGGGTTAAATATTAAAAAGGAAAATTATTTGGGATCATTTCTGTTAATCATACTTGTTCTCTTATTATTTTAATGAAACATCTATATTGTTTATATGATATTAAATAAGAAGAATTAGCAACCAACACTTCACATAAACATTCAAAGACAAAGAGAAGTTGTGGATTATTAGGAAGTTTGGTTGCAAAACATAATTTTTCCTATAATAGAAAAATTAATTGAATAATCTTTGATAACAGAAATTACCACAGTTGAAATAAAAGAAATGGCACCTTTAATTTTCTACTTAAAGACCTTATTAGATTCAAGTAAAATTTCTAAGTGCATTGTCAACATTTTCTAATTTGTTACTCTGCACGCTTCCTAACTCTGAACTATCTACCTATACTTGAAAATGTTGCTTCAAGAAAATAGAATAAGCATTCTTCCACTCAGTTGACAAATTACTGAAAGACTAAGGGATTAACATAATTTTTTGGTCATCATGAAAACAAAGATGAATTATTTACTACGACATGAATTTAAGGTATGGATACAAAAAAAAGTACCTTTCTTGTTCACTTGCTTATGCACATAAGTACCTTTTACTCCTCTGGCACCTGGGCGTCCAGGAGCACCCATTAGTCCAGGAACACCATCTCTTCCTGGCAAACCAGGAAATCCTCGGGGACCTTCTGGGCCTATAGGACCAGGTGGCCCAGGGACACCAGGGGAACCATGTTGGGACTGGCAACGATCGCAATTTTGAATTCTTCACTCTGAAGTAAGACTGGTAGCTGGGCTTAAAACAAAGAACCCCACCCCCT